TTCACTCTGGGGTTGAGGTGAATAAAAGAACTGTGTTGTGACCTAAATAACATGCTGTTGCTATCTGCAGAAAGTATTAAAGCATGAAATCCCGTATTTTTAATGTACGAGAGCATCCTGTATCATAACTACATGTGTGCCGTTTGTAACAAACCAAACCGCGTGAAAATCAGTTGAAAATTCAGTGAGTTATTCTATTTTACTTGTGCATACAGCTCCTTCCTCAGTAGAAGTGAATGCACTGTGGAGGCGAAGCGAGACCCATCCAAGATGGCGGCCGGCGAGGACGTCGGCTCCGATAGGCAGCGGCAGTCAATGCGGCGTCTATGTATATATATGTCTATGATAAAGACATGACCATGGCTCATGGGAGAAAGGGACTGTTCGTTACTTATCACAGGAGGGGAGGGGTGGCTGGGGTGTGACATCATTTTTTTTCTCTCCCCAAGCCACATATATTTTCCCTGAGCCTCCCTGAGTGAGTGTCAGAGTTTTAAAACATACCTTTTGATGTTTGAAAGTGAGAAGTTAATACAAGGCATGCAGCAAGATGTTGTTGTGTTTTACTTCCTGTTTCAAAAACAAATGCACTGCAAGGTACTGTTACGTTCAGGGGAGTTAAATTATGGAATGGTGTGCCATCAGATATTACACATGTATCAAGGGTAGCTGTTTATAAACAGACGTTAAAGAAATACCTGAAGGTACAGAACAATGGCCTAAATTAAAAAGGGTTTGTTACATAATACCTGACTGTACGAAACTTAATGTGAAACTTTCCTGGTCTTTTCATACTCTCAATTATTGTATATACTGTTTACAACAACTTTTGAGCTGTAAATAAATAAATAATAATATTAGTAATTATTATTATTATTTATAGTTTATATTTATTTATTTATTTATATATACCATTATGTATAATAGTATTATAATATATAATATTACAATATTATTTATTTTATAATTTATTTTAGTTTTTAATGATAATAATAATAATAATAATAATAATAATAATAATAATTATTATTATTATTATTATTATTATTATAACAATTTTAATACAGTAAGGACACTTGTTGTCATTGTTGTAATTAGTGCCATAAGTCGTTTTATTGTGGTTAATCTATTAGTTCTGTTTGTTTGTTTTTGTTTTGTTTGTTTATTTGTTTGTTTGTGTTTTGGTTATTGCTTCGTAGTTTTCCTGTTTTCTTGTTGTATATCGTTTTATTTTTGCCTTGGATTTTAAATTACATATTTGTTTTACATTATGATGTCACGTTTGCTTGTGTGGACCCCAGAAAGAGTCGTTGCTACCTTGGTAGTGACTAATGGGGATCCAAATACATAAACAAATAAACAAATAGATAAATCACTAAGTGCTTTGATACTCACTACAGTAATAGGAACACATGCAAATACAATACTCCAGAAACTATTGAGTTGCAGCACAAACAGGTGCTCCAGTGTTACTCAGATAAATGGCGCCCTCTGCTGTTTATCATTTATAATCGACAACCCCAAACTTCCTCACTGAATCAGCTCATCAGGTCTGTTTGTGAAACCTTACTGTGATAGGGTGGATCTGTTTTTTACCCACATTGTATGGATTACACATTTTTGTGTGGATGTTCAGAGTCTTTAAAAGGCTGCAGTCAGTGAGTGTTAGAAACAGGATGACGTGTTAAAGGAACATACAGCGATGTAAAACCTTCAGGAATGGTTTAATTTCTTGCATGTTTTTGTGTAAAATGAGACCAGTCATATGTGAAATAAAATCACAGTAGCTGAAGACAGTATTTATTTGTTAAAAAATGAAGACATTAAGTACGATAACAGAACTACAATTAACAGTCAGCGTATTTTGGTCCAGTAAACTTTTTAGAGGAACAGCAGGGCGTCATGTTTAAAACATTTAGATAGTTGGTCTGACGTGTCTGTGAAACAAAATTTACAGATCATAGTTTCAGTCAGGTGTTAAATGTAGAGATAGCTTATCAGCTGATCAGGATTATTTCAGGACTATAGGTGTTTTTCCATTAATACACCCGTCACCCTGGCCAGCGTTGACATCCAAACAGAGAGCTGTGTTCCCATCTGTGAGGGGACGTGCCTGAATCCCATTTTCTCGTACAGGGCCACAGCAGCGGTGGCTGGAGAGCTGGTCTCCAGCACCACTTTTGAGAAGCCTCGTTCTTTACAGAAGTCAACAACAGTCTGAGTCAACTTTGAGCCCAGGCCCAACCGTCTGTATGATGGTAAGATGGTCATTCTGAACAGTTCCCCATGCCTTTCTTTCCCACTTTGTTTGGCCACCACAGCCACCGTACCCATGATCTGGACCCTCCCATCAACCTCAGCCTCCACCACCCAGAAACAGTCATCTGGTCTGCTCATAAAGTTCCCAGGGATGTCTCGCATGTCTGTCTGGAGTTTCCCCCTGACAAGGCCGGCATATAGCTCATGGCAGCAGTAGTATATGAGGCCCACCCATGCTCCTGGTAACACCACAGCCCCTAACACAGAGCCCAGCAGGTAGCCAGGAACACAGAGAGCCAGGGTGATGGTGATGTAGAGAGGGCTGGTTATGGCGTTGTAAAAACATGGATGGATGTGCTCCAGGATGCCGTTGCTGAACAGGGTGAGCAAGGCGTCCTTGTCTGAGGGACGGTACGGGCGGATCAACACGTGCATGACCAGAGGCAACTAGAGGAAAATAAAAGATTCATGTGTGAATTCTCACAGTAAATTGACTGAGTAAGACTATGTTTATAATATTAATTTGCCTGAGGAAGACCAGTGTGCGGGAAATACATATTACTCTTGTTTTTAATCATGTAGGCAATATAATGAACAAAGCAAACATATTGATTTACAGATTGATTGGAGGCCACCTTTTAGAGCAGCTAAACTACATCCTCCTGGGACCTTAACTTTTGTTTGGGAGGCATTTTGTTATTTCCACCTCACGTTCTTCCTCAGCTCTACCCTCTTGAATCGGAGATACTAGTTCTGAAGTGGAGCAACCATCAGTCACTTCCTCTACATGAATGACATCAAGCTATATCCCAGGAATGGGTGAGACATCGACTCACCAATTCACCTCACCAGGATCTACAGCAATGACATCGGAGTGTCATTCGGATTAGATAAGTGTGGTCGGATGGTGTCAAAGAGAGGGAAGATCGTCATAACTGAGGGGGTTTAACCACCAGAAGGCAGCATTACAGATGTTCAGGACAGCTACAAATACCTTGGGGTCGCGCAGGCATATGGGAACCATGAGGAGGCCGCAAGGAAGTCGACCACAGCCAAGTACCTACACACAGTAAGGCAGGTCCTGAAAAGTCAGCTGAATGGAAAGAACAAGGCCCAAGCCATCAACGCGTATACTCTGCCAGTCTACAGATACCCTGCTGGTACAATAAGCTAGCCAAAGAAAGAGACAGAGGCCACTGATATCAGGACTAGGAAGCTTCTCACAATGCATGGAGAGTTTCATCCCAAGTCCAGCACCCTGAGACTGTACACTAAGCAGAACGAGGTTGGCTGAAGACTTGTGAGTGTCAGAGCCACTGTCCAGGACGAAACAAACAAGATCCAGGAATACATCAGGAAGACTGCCCCCAAATATGAGCTGCTAAGTGAAAACTTCAGGCAGCAGAAACCCAAGAATGCAGAAGAGGAGGATGAACCATCATGGAAGGACAAGCCCCTGCACGACATGTACCACCGACAGATTGAAGAAGTGGCCGACATCAAGAAATCCTACCAGTGTCTGGAAAAGGCTGGACTGAAAGACAGCACAGAAGCACTTACCATGGCAGCACAGGAACAGATGCTTAGTACAAGATCAATCAAAGCAGGGGTCTACCACAGCAGATAGGACCCCAGGGGCAGGCTGTGCATGCAAAGATGCTCCTGAGACAAGATGCAGGCAGGAAGAGTGTACATGGGACGCCATAACCAAGTGGCTGGCATAGTGTACAGGAACATCTGCACTGAGTCCCAAGGTCAGAATGGAAGACACCTTCTAAGGTGGTTGAGAATGACCGAGCTAAGATCCTGTAGGACTTCCAGATCCAGACTGACAAACTGGCGATGGCTAACCAAACAGACATCGTGTTCATTGACAAACAACAGAAGAAGGCAGTGGTGATAGATGTAGCAACCCAGGGCGATAGCGACACCAGGAAGGAGGAACAAGAGAAGCTGGAAGAATACCATGGGCTGAAAGAGGAGCTAGAAAAGATGTGGGGAGTAAAGGTAACAGTGGTGCCAGTGGTAATCGGAGCACTGCGGGCTGTGACCCCCAAACTGGGAGAACAAATATCATCGATTATTATTTTGTTTTCATGAAAATTGGAAGCTGCACTGAGTGGCAAAAGCATGGGATGGTTTTACTTTTAAAGCTTGGAAAATTAGGCAAACTAGAATGAATATAACTGGTCTCACACCTGTGTACATGAAAAACCTATAGTCTGCCTTGTAAGCTGTTTGTGTTGGGCATCTTTTCATGGAAGATATCAGAATACAGACCTCACATTTGAGTAAAAAATTTTTGCTGGACATAGGTTAGTCCATCTAAATGTCAATAGGCCTATATTTTAGCACTATTTAGTCATACATATTTTACAGTATATATTATGATGGTCAATTTGAGAATTTATCAGCAGTCAGGTGAAAGTCATTTGAAAATCTAGTTGCAGTTGCATCTTCGTAAATCAGCGATCACAAAACAATAAAAAAAAATCATCTCTGAAGTAAATGAGTACCGCAGAACATAAGGCACCGTCTCCTGGCTGATGAACCGAGTTTGTAAAAAGTCCCACAAACCGATGGGTGACATCATAGTGGCTGTGTCCACCTTTTTTTATACAGTCTATGCAAGCAACTCAACGTTAGCTGTAACTCGAGTTCAGGCCTTTGGTGTGCCAGAAATCTCTCCAGTTTAATTCACCACAAATGACACTTAAATACAACTTAACCTGACTTAAGTCTAGTTTTCTGCTGACCAATTATAACATCACATTTTAATGAAAACTGATGCTCTCTTACCTTACGTTACTCAGACAACTTGTGAAACTGGTCCTTGGCGAGGAGCAGAATGATCCAGCTCGCGGCTCACATGAACTATGAACCCGATTAAAAGTTAACTTTAATGAGTGTTACGTTAACACAATAATGGTGCCAAGAGCTGCATTGAGGCATTGTTTTCAGTTCATGTCAGGTCAAAGTTACCTACAGCAGCAATTAAAGATTACATCACTTGCAGACTGACAGCTCCAGTGTTACTCAGATAAATAGCGCCCTCTACTGTTAGTGTGAGAGGTTGGATCTGTTTTTTACCCACATTATATGGATTACAAATTTTCCTGTGGATGTTCAGAGCCTTTAAAGGTTTGCAGTCAGTGAGTGTTAAGAAGAGGATGATGAGTTAAAGCAGAACATACAGCAGTGTAAAACCTTCAGGAATGGTTTTATTTCTTACATTTTGTGTAATAACAGTTCAATGAGATCAGTCATATGTGAAATAAAATCACGGTAGCTGAAGCCAGTATTCATTTGTTAAAAAATGAAGACTACAATTAACAGTCGTAACAGGCGTATTTTGGTCCAGTAAACTCATAAGAGCAACAGCGTGTTGTGTTTAAAACATTTAGATAAGTTGGTCTGATATGTTTGTGAAACAGAACTTACAGATCATAGTTTCAGTCAGGTGTTAAATGTAGAGATAGCTTATCAGCTGATCAGGATTATTTCAGGACTACAGGTGTTTTTCCATCGCTACAACCGTCACCCTGGCCAGCACTGACATCCAAACAGAGAGCTCTGTCCCCATCTGTGAGGGGACGTGGCTGAACCCAAGTTTCTCGTACAGGGCCACAGCAGCAGCCTGAGTGGAGCTGGTCCACAGCACCACTTTTGAGAAGCCTCGTTCCTTACAGAAGTCCACCACAGTCTGAGTCATCTTTGAGCCCAGGCCCAACCGTCTGTATGATGGTGAGATGATCATTCTGAAGAGTTCCCCATATTTTTCTTTCCCACTTTGTTTGGCCACTACAGCCACCGTACCCATGATCTGGGCCCTCCCATCAACCTCAGCCTCCGCCACCCAGAAACAGTCATCTGGTCTGCTCATATAGTTCCCTGGGATGTCCTGCATGTCCGTCTGGAGTTTCGTCTTGACGTAGCCGGCATATAGCTCATGGCAGCAGTAGTATACGAGGCCCACCCATGCTCCTGGTAACACCACAGCCCCTAACACAGAGCCAAGCAGGTAGCCAGGGACACAGAGAGCCAGGGTGATGGCGATGTAGAGAGGGCTGGTAATGGCGTTGTAAAAACATGGACGAATGAGCTCATGGACAACGTTGCTGAACAGGGTGAGCACCGTGTCCCTGTCTGAGGGACGGTACGGGCGGATCAACACGTGCATGACCAGAGGAACCTAGAGGAAAATAAAAGATTCACATGTGAAATCTCACAATACCTTAACTGGGTAGTAAAGTATAAAGGCATGCAGATTGCATTATTCATGTTTGTCTAGTTGGTTTCACACCTATGTGCATGAAAAATCTAGTATCAGGTGCATCTTTGTAAATCAACAATCACATTAAAAGAATCGTCTGTGAAGTTACAGTTTGGGCTGAGGTCTCTGGTTGGTTTAATCTGGAAGTGAAGGCAAAGATTAAGTTATTAAACAACTTTTTAGGTTACACTTTTGCTAGCTTATTAAGTGACAAGACAACTAAATCGAACTGGAAATTAGCGTCGACCTGGGTCCCACGACAAAAAGCCAATGGGATTTTTTTCATTGAATTTTGGTTCATTACAGAAAATAAGCTCTGTGGCAAACAAAAGTTTATGACACAGGTTTTGTTCAATGAGATAATCTTAACAAATGATTAACACTTCTATCATTTTTGAAGCGTAAACGCAATTGCCAGAAGTAAAATGCTAACATTAGGCTGTAAACAAACTACACCATAGTTGCATCGACACCACCACAGCGAGGCTGTGAAGCTGTTTTGGTGTTATGACACTCTGTGGTCTCATTTAGCCACTTGTTAGCAACCACCTTTGTTAACACACATGAAATCTTCAAAATTCTCAAGTGGGGGGGTTTACTGTCATATTTTATGTCGCAGAATAAAAACTGACAGTCTCATAAGCTTTTGTTACCCGAAGACCTTATTTCAGACATCTAACCAAAAACCCATTTGATGAACCCACTGACTTTGAGACGATGAAACTGGAAATCCAACAATGATAACTCATCTCTGTGTTTTAGGACTCACTCCTGTAGCACTCTACGGGAGCCAACAAACACTGTGTGTGACCCAGAACATAAGGCACCGTCTCCTGGCTGATGAACCAAGTTTGTAGAAAGCCCCACAAAACAATGGGTGACATCACAGTGGCTGTGTCCACTTTTTTTTTTTTTTTTTTTACAAAGTCTATGCAAGCAACTCAATGTTAGCTATAGCCTGAGTCCAGGCCTTCAGTGTGCCAGAAACCTCTCCAGTTTAATTCACCACAAATGGCACTTAAATACAACTTAACCTGACTTAGGTCTAGTTTTCTGCTGACCAATTATAACATCACATTTTAATGAAAATTGATGCTCTCTTAACTTACGTTACTCAGACAACTTGCGAAGCTGGTCCTTGGCGAGGAGCAGAATGATCCAACCTGCAGCTCAAATGAACTATGAACACACAGAAGCACCATGAACCTGATTAAAAGTTAAGTTTACATAGGGATACGTTAACATAACCATGGCGCTGACAAAGAGCTGCTTTAAGGCATTATTTTGATTTCATGTCAGGTCAAAGTTACTCACAGTGGCAAGTGAAGATCACACCACTCTCCGTGCAGAAACATGTTAAGGTTGTAAATGTTTCCATATACTGTTTTCAAGAGATCTCAGCCTCTGCGGTCTTTGATATTAGATGCAGTTGGGTGCAATCATTTATTAACTAAGATACACAAGAACTGGCCAGTGATGTTTTCCTGGGATGACATTAGACTCTCACTGCTGATTTATTACAGACAGTTAACAGCCTCAAACCACAAAAAACGCACAGGTTTTTTTTAACATAAGTTTGCACAGTGGCATCAACAGGAGGGGGCATGAAGGGTCCTCTTGGCTTTAGGTGCAAACTGTGATCACTGTATAAATATTGGTATTAAGTACACATGCAGATGCAGATAAAGTGTGACTGTGATATTGTTCTGTTGCTGCGGACTATACACTTTACAATACAGTTGCACTTTATGCTTGTAGGTGTTGTTTATTTGTGGGTAACCAGGTTTAGGGAGAACATAACCTGTACAGCAGTACACTGAAGAAAGCCACAATGGTTGTCTTTTTTTATGCTAACCCATTAAAGGTGCAGTGTGTAGGATTTAGTGGCATCTACTGGCAGAAATGGTACATAAATATAATAGCTTATATTTTCAGAACCACTTCATATTCAGCTTGTAATTTATCTGGTATCTCAATAAACATTCAAGTCATACATTACTGGTTAAGTTGCTGCACACCCTGCTGCCGGCCAGTCGCAGCAAACCTGTTTTTAGTTGTTTTTACAAATGGGTGTGCCAGTTAAGCCTCATGAAGGGATATGCTTCTCAATTACCTCATTCTAGCCATTTGGTTTAATTTGCCCTGACATGTCCGTGTCTGAGATCTCTGCTGCCATCCCACAGCATTAAAGGTTAGAAATTTGTTCTGAAAATTTACAAGCGACTTACCTGTCCAGAAACAATGTTCCAGCTACTCTGGGAAGACCTAACTGTGAATAAGTTTGATATAAGAGTAACACTGAAGATATGACAAGTGAATAAAATAATTTGAATCAGCATAAATAATTCTAAAAATGCAATAATCCCATAACGGTAACACTTTACAATAAGGTACACAAAATTAGAGTAGTTACTGAGGAACTAATGAGTAGTTACTGAGGAACTAAGCTACACAAAATTAGAGTAGTTACTGAGGAACTAATGAGTAGTTACTGAGGAACTAAGCTACACAAAATTAGAGTAGTTACTGGCATGATACGTAGCTGGTTACCATGACAGTTTAACGGCACAACAACAAACACCAGCACCCAACAAACTCACCCCGGGAGAGCAGTGTTCGTGTCCTGTGAGATTATAACCCTGTTCTTTTTTCCTAACCCTAACTGCGTGTTTGTCATTGAAGGAAAAAAAAAAACCCATCAATTTGCGGTGTGTTGTACTGATGTAGTGCGTTTAATTTGAAAGAAGACAATGCATGTAACAGGCAGAACTTGACACGGTGTCCCAGAACGTCAACAACCAACGCACCCAGGGTACCTTTCTCATTGTATGTGGATGTGGAAAGTCCATGACCAAACATGGATATATGACGAGGTCAGAGCGACAATGTGTTGTCTGGGATGGGTCATTTTACGCCTGTTAAATGCATTGTGTCTTTTCAAAGTACACTTCCGTCTGACGCCGCCTGTCCACATATCATACTGCTGTGACAGGTGTCATGTGGCTGACCGGCGGCTTATCATAACACCATGAAAGGTCCTGGCTGGTCACATTATATGAATACAATTCTGCAATCAATGCTGTTCCTTCTGGTTTAATCCATCTTATTACAGAGCAGTTATGTTTTGGTGAAGGAAAAATCCCAGAGGCTCCATTTGCATTGATTTTGAATGGTATCAACATATTTGACGTGTATCTCATGTGTCGTTGTGTTCTGGTTTATACCTGACATTTTTTGTACATTGTTTTAGAATATATTACAGAGATGCTGACATTATGAAAATTAAAAGATGCAGAATGCGTTCCGTCACTCGGGCATTCGGAACAGAACGTAGTTCTGTAGTTCCATAGAACCTCTCTGATGGGGCCAAAAGTTTGTAAATACAAGTGGAATGTTGCAACAGACAGTTTGAATCCAGCAGTCAAACAGTGCAGACAGACATCACAACTTGACTCGAATTTGTAAAGAGATCCACAACACCACGAAGATGCTCGGACAACGTATTTTTGGCCGAAAGGTTTGTCTTTTATCTATCTTTCTGTAGATCCATGGCTTTTAATGTGACCTTGTGAAATGAAAAAAGTTTCCATGACTTCAGTGTGTTTTTCGATACTTTCAGTTAGGGCTGCACGATTAATCGTAATAAAATCGTGATCTCGATTCAAATGCATATGCGATTTAATTTTTCCCGACTCCCGGCTCGTTATACCACGTGATGCAAAGCGACAGTCGGCCGGCAATTTGGAAAGCAGCGAGACAAGGGGGAAACACACTGTAGCTTCAGTTTGTGCCTCATACAGATCTGCTGGTAAAGTTAACTTAGCGTTAGCAAGCGTGATAAAAGACGGCAGAGAGGCGACGTTGTGCAAATAAACCAACGATTTATTAATTTTCTGTAGCAGTAAACACCTGGGCCGATAACAAATGTGTTAACTAACTATGCTAAAGCTTTACAAGCTATTCAGGGCTGCCGACGATAACGTTAACATGACAAACAGCAAGGCTAACGTTACGGCTAACAAGCTAACGCACTGACACTCCTCAGACACACACACACACACATACCGGACAGCCTCTCAGTCCTTAGCCGCTAACGTTAGCTCATGTACAACACAGGTACCACACAGAAACTTTTACAAAGGGTCATAATGTGCTTCTAGTGACTGCCAAATCGCCAGCTAAAGATGTTTACACTGCGGACATGGAGAACAGCTGCCTGCTCTCATGGGACAAAGATCCTCTGAGAAGAAAGACGGTTCACTCTACTCTGTCGCCAGGAACAAACTGGGAGGCAAAGATCCTCTCTGAGGAAGAGGGCTCACTTTGCTGCAGGGTTCACCAAAAGGTTTTTTTTTTTTGTTTGTTTCTTTTAATAAATTGAACACACATTAAAGAACATACAACATCCTGTAGAGAATAATACATATAATACAATACGATAAACATTGTCAAATTAAATGAAGGAAGAGGATTTTTTTAAAGGCAAATAAAATATTGGGGATTTATGTAAAAATATACATAGAGACATATATAATTATAAGATATGTAGGCTATGTTAGGTGAATACTCCTGTCAAATGCATGGTGTTGAAACTTTTAATTCTGACTTAATTCCAGGCCTGGAATACCTACCTCAGAAAAATGTTGTTCAACATTGATATTATTGTTAAAATTGTTCAAAAGCTGTAAGAGAAGACAAGAGACTAAAGCTAAAACAGGAGTGTTCCCTCTGACCAGGGTTTATGTGCCCTGTGTCTCTTGTATCAGGCACAATCATAGGCTTTGTTATTTAATGATATTTTTATTATTTATTTATAATTTTTGTTACTTTTCCTTTTGTATTAGGAAATAAGCACAATATATCTTTATGTTGAAAAAAATCGTGATCTCAATTATAAGCCAAAAAATCGTGATTCTCATTTTTTCCAGAATCGTGCAGCCCTACTTTCAGTCAAATTATAGTCTATCTAGAGGTTTTTTTGTAGGCTGACACAGATGCCAGTGTTACCATGATTCCCTCGACAAAAGCAGAGGTGATTTTCCCGTTATATTCGATTATTGCAGGAAAACGACAGTTTATGATACTTGTGTGTTTTGTACAGCAAATAATCTTCAAATATTTACACCACTATTATGATTTTTGAGGTGTAAATGTAATCAGCGGAAGTAAAAAGCTAATGTTATCTAAATTACTTCATTCACTACCCCAACAAGGCTGTGAAGCTGTCAACGTGATGACGCTCTGTAGTCTCATTTAATCACTCATTAGCAACCACCTTTGTAAGACACCTAAAGGCTTAAAATTTCACAAGTGGGATATTTACTGACATATCTTATGTCCTAGAACAAAATGTGGAAGTCCTTGTGTTAAGCACAGACCGTATTTCAGGCACCTAACCAAAACCAGATTCAAAAAAACTCACTGATTTCAAGATAAGGAAACCAAGCGTGCAAAAATGCAAACTCATTTTCGGCGTTTAGGACTCATTCCCGGACTACTCTATAAAGGCATTTTAATTTTCAGTCAATGTTCATCTTATTTTTCTTTATTCTTAACAGAAGAAACAACGATCTCATAAGAAGACTGTGGCTGATGAGAAGAGACTGCAATCCAGCCATCAGACAAGGTAAGGACATACACTTCAATACAAAATACACTTCAGTGGTCTGTTTCATTCGCTGCCTTTATGAAGGGTTTAGAAGGATTTTACCAGAAATAAAGCAGTATTAATACAAGTATTTACATTTTTTTAGTATGTAGTTTCTTGGTAGTAATCCAAACCTTTAAGAGTCAGAGAGTGCCAGAGCTGCAGACCTGAGATTGGAAAGCAAAATTTTTATTGTTTTTTAACTGGTAAAATCTTGGAGCGCTATATACAGGCAACATGATTAGTGTTTTTAGTGTCAAATATTTAAGTTTGACGCAAATTGTTTGTGATTGTGTTAACTGTGAGAGTAATTTTTTTCTGGAAACAACTCTTGCACATGATTTATGATTCATTTATCTGGCCTCGAAAGTAAGAAACTAACTGTGTCTCTCTTAACCACCAGCGGCGGTGTCCAGGATGTACCTGCTGCTCCAGTCTCAGCAAAGCCAGCTGAGTCTTGGGAGGACCAACAGGCAAAGAAGAAGAAATGGTGGAATCGCCTCTTCGGTTACCTTGACGTATGTTTGACGTCAGAGTGTCAGAGCTTCACATTAATCTCATTTTAGTAGACTGTAACATTTATATTTAAACATTTTAGTTGGAAATGGCTGCAAAAAAGAGAAGTTTAAAACTGTTTTCTCATAATATTGCTTTGGTTTTCACTCTACAGAAGGAAAGTGTTCCTGTTAGGAGGCCTTCAGCCCCACAGAGTGCGTTTTTGTTTCTACAGACATGTTGTTTGCTAACTCTTTAATTTTCTCCACAATACCCCAGAGATGACCACAAGGACACAGAATGTCTGTATGATTTATCTCTTTAAAATAACCAACCATGTTTCTCTTTAGACCTGCTGTCACCA